AGCCATAGCTCTTACCTAATCACACCTGTTTAATACGCAAGTGCTAAACTTTGGCCCCACAAGTTATCGTGATTCCCGCTCAATTATTGCAAAAGATAATTTCCACATCTTTTACCATTTTTCACCCGGCCTTTAGGAATGGGTGTACAAAGTCAAGTCGTGCACGATTGCAAGTTTCCACGTGAAAAATGTCAGTGCCCTTGGATCCGGGGCGGAGCCATTGTCAATCAGTGCGGGGCATTGACCTCCATCAACTTCAAAAATTAAATATTGGGTTAGCAAAATTTTTTAATTTTATTAAGGGATAATCTCAGAAACCTCCCTTGAGGTTTTCTGACAATTTCACTGTCCTCTTCTAAAGCTTTAAAATTTTCACTAATCACCCCTATCAGTCATTTGGAATCCAATGCTTACAATCACTAATGACTAAAGGACTCAATTATCCTTATAATTTAGAATAATTAGACATACATGTGAAGGAAAAGAGTTAAACATTTGCTAGCTACATTAACCATAATTTGGATTGTAAAAGGTTAATTAATTTGCCATCTAAAAATAAAGCCACTATTAGGTGTTTCTTTTTTAATTCTTATATACTTGACAAATAAACGAAATCGAATGTAATGCATTTGATAAATTTGAAGGATTTAGACATAAGAAACAATTAAGACATTTACAAACTAAATTAACCATAATTTGAAATGTTAAAAAGAAAATCTATTTTGGCATCTAAAAAAAGAATCCAATACTAGGCATCCTTTTTCCAAGTTATGTACTTAATAAATAAAAGAAATCAAATATAAAGAGATTTCAGTTGGTGAATTTTTATTATAATTGTAGTGATAGAAAGAATCTTAAGGTATGGAAAAAATTGTTTTGTTAAATTTTGAAAGTTGTTACTTTTTATTATGGACGATGAAAATTTTTTTATTGACCATGTGTAGCAATGGTCCCATCAGTAAATTAACACGTTAGATCAAATATTTAATCTAACTAATATAATAGTTGAGAGGACTTTTGGTATAAATAATTCTTTTCACACCTAAAATCATTTTTTTATTATTATTTTTTAATTGGGCTAAATTGTTACAAGAAAATTGGTTTCAAGGAATGTCAATGATATTTTAGAACCTTAAGGAAAGACAGTGAAATTATCAAAAACCTTAGGAGAGGTTTCTAAAATTATCCCTTTAGTAATTTTTCCTACATTTGTGCCCTTTTAATTTTTTTAATAATCCCTTTACCTTTTTAAATTTATTCCTTCTAAATCTTCTCAAATTTCTTTCATTCTTTACATTATCTTATCAGAAATTTGGAAAATTTAAAGACAATAGAGTGAGTCTAATTTTTTTCTACAAAAAGGAAGAGAAAAAAAAAATTCTAACTTAACTTTTGTAACAATTCAAAATTGGGATAATATCAGAAACCTCCCCTGAGGTTTCTTCAAATATCACTAAGCTCCCTCCACATTTTGGAAATCTCTCCTACCACCCCTCAAGTGATGGTAGGGTCAGAAGTCACTATGAAAATTCATCAGTTGCCAATAATACCCTTGTTTCTGCTGTGGTCTTATTCAGCTTATAAAAGGAGAAAAAATGACAATATCACTAAGCATGCAACTGTATAAGGAGCGGGAAACCATTGCCGCCTAGAAGTTGAGTTCCGTACGTGTATCATGGCGCCATTTTGCTCTGATAAGACATCTAAGTGCCCGGGAAATGCCAAGGAATGAAATACTACTTATAACTGTGATTGTTATTTGTAGCTTGGAGAACCAATTGAAGCTATGTTTCTGGAAATCTCTTGCTGGATATTGCAGAGGAGGAGAAATATGGCACTTGAATGAATTGCATGCGTTCGGTTGGACCGAAAGTGTGATTGTCAAAACTAAGCTGCAAAACAGGTAAAAATCTTCCATTGCTGGTTGATATGATCAACATGTAATTGGACAAAATGCAGGTGTCATTAAGCTTTCTGTTTGATTTGCCTATAATATCTCTGTTTTCCTTATATTTTTCTGTTTTGTTGGACTTGATGACTGAGTTTATAATCCAACCAGACCCTTTGTATGCTCTTGTTTTATTAAGTATTATTGATGTTGGATGTTATAAAAAATGTGTGATTTGATGATGTATGCCTGACCTTTATAAAGTTGATGAACAAAAAAGTTGATGAATATTGAGTTTTTTGAAGCTGTAATACATAAGAAGAGCTTAGCTTTGTAGATTAAAGTTGCAATACATATGACAAGCTCTAAGTGTAGTGTATACTGTTGGTTAGTAGACAAAAGTGAAAATTTAAATGAAAAGCTGGTGAGAGTGATGATGTTCATGAAAGCTGCAATGAAGGTTCTGTTTTGCAACCTGAGTTTGACTTTGAATAAGCATGCATGTGTTATAGCCGTCTGAGTATGTGATCCATATAGCAACTGATTGAGACTTTTCTTGGGAACACACTGATATGTAGGATGGGAAGAATTATTGCACATGATATTGTAGTTCATTACATGGGAAACACTGTCAGAATTCCAAATGTCGATCCAAAGAACTACCAATATATTGACCTTCTCGGTGATGTTACTGATAAGGCAATGAATGATTTGCCTGGAAATTTGAACATGCTTGTGCATATGAAATGTGCGATTCCTAGAACAACAAGCTTTATGGACATCAGTAGTGACAAATCAGTATCTGATATGTTCAAACTTCATGAGCAAGATCTTGTTATAAACTTGTACTTGCTGCACCTGGATATTATTCCTACTACAGAGGAGAATATGGTAGACAATAGGAATAACCAACTTCAGGATGCACAGAAAGACAAAGGAATCGAAAAAGCTCCTATTCTTGTAGTTGACAGTGAGGGTGATGATGAGATTTATGCTTCTAGTTCTGATGACTCTTGGAAAGATGACATGGATAGTGACTTAGAAGATGTCATAGCTGAAGATAGGGCCTTAATTTCTTCCAGTGACAAGGAGGAAAATGACTTGTCTGATTATGAGGAGATTGAGGATGCACAAGTTGGGCCTGATTCAGAATCTGACCAAGAATCAGATCCTTTGAGAGCAATCATGCTGTCAAAAATGTGGACTTACAATCCAAGAGAGGACATTGAGTTTGAGAAAGGAATGCTATTTACTAATGTGGATGCATTTAGAGCAGTGTTAAAAGACTATGCTATTCAAAAAGGATTTCCATTGGTGAGGTTGAAAAATGAAAAGAGCAGATGCACTGCTAAGTGTGGAGCTGAGGGTTGTAATTGGAGGATTCATGCATCCCCAGTTGCTGATACAACCACATTCATGGTTAAGACATATACACCTGAGCATACGTGTGTGATGGATAGGAAAAACTCAGAAGCAACATCAGATTGGATTGCAAAAAAATTAATTTCTGTTATGAGAGATCACCCAGAGATGACAAGCAAGGGAGTAAAGGCTGAAATGCAGAAGCATGGAGTCTTGCCAAGTAGAATGCAAATTTACAGGGCAAAAAAGAAAGCCTTGGAACAAATAGAAGGCTCACACAGTGAAGCCTATGGAAGGTTACCAAAATATGCTGAACTTTTGAGGATTAATAACCCGGGAAGCATCATGAAAATTCACTACGATAGGCCAAACCTTCTTATGGAGCCTAAATTTCTGAGATTGTTCATAAGTTTCAAGGCACAAAGAGATGGTTTCCTAGCAGGTTGCAGGCCATTTATTGGATTTGATGGCTGCCATTTGAAAGGTGCATTTGGGGGCATTCTGTTGACTGCTGTTGCTCTTGATGGGAACAACAGTTTGTTTCCATTAGCTTTTGCTGTTGTTGAGTGTGAAAACAAGGAAGCTTGGAGTTGGTTTTTTTACTATTTTCAGGATTTCTTTGGACCTTTTCCAAACAATATTCCACTCACCTTCATGAGTGATAGGCAGAAGGTATGTTTCCTGGTTCTATGTTTTATGTATAAGATTTCTTCCATTGTTGTTTTGCATGGCTGTCAAGTAACAGAACAGGAATTTGTTTCTGTCCATTCTCTGTTTAGGGACTAAACCTTGCATACGAGGAACAAGTGCCACAAGCTGCTGCACGATATTGTGATTGGCACATCTATAGCAACTTCAAAGTGAAATTTCCAGGATTGCTTCTAAGAAGATTTTTTTGGCAAGCAGCTAAAAGCTATGATCTGATAGGACACAATGAGGCTATGGAAAAAATAAAGAATATTAACATAGATGCTTGGAGATACTTAGCAAACATTCCTAAGTGTAATTGGGCAAGGCATGCATTTTCTGTTGAAATTAAGTGTGATCATGTCACCAACAATTTCACAGAATCTTTTAATGCATGGGTTGGTGAACTGAGAGGAAAGAATATACTTGCTCTGGCTGATGGACTGAGGCAAAAATTCATGAAGAAACTACATAAGAGGTATCAAAAAGGCTGCACATGGACATCTAGACTTACTCCACATGTTACTGGTAAGCTGAAGGATATTGCATCTGAATCAAGAAAGTGTTCATTGACAATGGCAAGTGAGAACACATTTGAAGTAGCAGATGTGGATAAGTCCTATATAGTCAAGCTGCATGAGAGGACATGTGAATGCGGGGCTTTCCAGTTGACTGGCATTCCTTGCAAACATGCAGCACTAGGAGCTATTTACAGAAGGGAGAAACTGGAAAGTTATTGTGATGCAGCTTTTTCAAGAGATCAGTATTTGAAAACATATGCATTCATGATCAACCCAATTCCACATATGAATAGGTGGCCTCCTATGGAAGATGTGACACCAGCAGTAGTTTTGCCACCACCACTTAGAAGAAGAGCTGGTAGACCAAGAAGAAATAGAAGAAGAGCACCTGATGAAGGAGCTCCTGCATCTCAACACAAGAGATCAATCAGTTTTAGGTGCTCTAAGTGTGGTGCATTTGGACATAATAGGAGAACTTGTCAAGGAGCTCCTGTTGCTGAAAAAAGAGGCAGCAGTACCTCTGCAAATCAGGTAGCAGAACGAAGAGGAAGACCAGGAAGAGGCATTGCCAATACTGGATTAGCAGGATCTGTTCTATGGGTAATTGTAGCAGTTGTATATTTACAGTATCTTTATGTGTATTTGGGATTGCAAATGAGCTTAGCTTTTTGTCATGATTTGTCAGGAACATGCACAAGGAAATGTGCCAGTGATTGTGTCAAGTCAAGGCAGTAATGGAAGCACTCAAAATCAAACTACTGGAGCTAATGTTCAACTTACTCATTCTGCTAGCACTAGTACTAATACCAGAAAGGTAATGCTAATCAGAAATTAGTTTCATTACCTATTGCTAACTATTTTAACTGTCAAGGCCATTAGTTTAATAGAATTTGTTGCATGGCTTCAGAGAGGAGGGCCAAATGCATGGGTTGGAACTACTGTTGCTAACAATAATAAGAGAGCCAGACGAAATGCAGCTCTTAATCCACATCAAACTCCAGCAGTCACTGCATCTGCAACAGCTCCAACAGTCACTGCCTCTTCAATATCCACTTCTGCAACTACCACTGGAACTCACAATGACAATAGCAGCATCAGTATGTGGTTTTAATTAGTACTAGTAATATGAGTTTTGCTTTGGGAGACTGATCTGGTACAGTTATATATGTAGCAATCCTCATCATCTAGAATGATGTTTTTAGATGATGTTTTCAATTCTCGTGGATTGCTATATACTTTTGCTAAGTATTATTTGTACCGTATGCCAAGTACTTATATGTATTCCCAGTCCCAGTGAACAAAATCTTAGACATATGTTTTGGTGCAATATGGTGGAATTTCAATTTACTCTTGCCAAATATGCTCTGCTGCTATCCACAGATCTTGGAACATGATGACTTATTCCATTGTGTATGGAATTTGCTAACTCCAACGTGTATGCTGTGCTTTTTTTTAACTCTATGTCTCGGATTCCTTACCATTATGTATGAAGCCTTATTGTTATAATTGGAATGAACTTAGCAGTAAAGTATTGTTATACCTAAGGAACTACACCTGATAGCTTAATGCATTTTCTGTCTAGCTTAACTTTGGTATAACACTGATAGGCAACAAATATGGGGGCATACGTATGAAGTAAAACATTCCTTCAACTCTTTTTCACATAGCTTAACACCATCTCCAAGTTACACATGCCTTCTGGTTCTTTCATGCATGGCCAGTAAGGGCCAAACAGCTTGGAACACATCTACTATTACTGGAACAAGAAACTGTGATTGCTTTAACAATTTGAATGAAAAGATAAATTGCTAAGAGTACAAGATTGATGATGAACAAGAAAGTGATGCATGCATTCTGTTGAGGCACAAAGTTACATTCCTGATTTGCTTTCCTCAATGGAAGCACTGCAGAATCAGCACCATTTCTTGTACGCTGCACTTCTTCAACTTCATTTCTTTGCCTCTGCAACTCTTCACCTTCATTTCCTTCATACCACTGGAAGTAGTTGCACTTTGAACAACTAAAATATAGCTTATCCGGATTTCTTTCACTCTCTGAGATTCGTAATGTAGCCTTCCGGTTGCATTTGCAATACCGGTTCTTCATGCTTAGTGATGAAGGTGAATTGTATGACTGACCTTGGAAGGATGAACTAGCCATTTCTTTGCTTGCTTTCCTCTTTAAGTTTTGCAGCTACTTCATGCGGTTCCGTCACCTTTTAATACCACTGGAAGCAATGTCAAATTAGCCGTTGCATGTCCAACGGCATGCAACAGTGCTCATACCACAAAATTTTTCTCCAATTCACATTCCACCCACTGCAACTTTCTTAATCACAGGATTCAGTCAAACTAAGGGTATGAAGGGAATTAAAATACTCTCCCTCCTCCAAAACCAATATTCTAATGTTACTTTAGACACCAGGGGCTGACATTGTTAAGAAAATGTCAATTCAAAGGGTGGTAAGAGAGATTTCTCATATGTGAGGGGAGCTAAGTGATATTTGAAGAAACCTCAGGGGAGGTTTCTGATATTATCCCTTCAAAATTTTGTGGCCTGCATTTGTGAGTTACATGCACTTATCTAAGTCGTTATCTCCAGTTCAAATTCGAGTATCCCCTTATCAATAAAAAAAAAAACCTTGAAATTTTTTTTCTGTCCTACTGATATAACTTGTCTACTTATTATTCATGCGAAGAATGGTGCTATTTATTAATGCTTAATTGTCTGATCAACAAAAAACTTGAAATCTTTTTTTTTTCTATACTACTGATATAATTTGTTCAATTAGTCCCATGAAATTTCTTCTTTTTTTTTATTCTATTGATATAAGTTGTAGAGTTATTTCCCATCGAGGGAAGGTGTAACTTATTAATGCTTATTTGATTTCAAGCACTAGTTGGTGTTTTTTGAAGTAATATCATAAATTCTTGAATCTAGTATAGGATTCAAGGAACTAATTCAAGGGTGGAGAGATTATCAGTAGAGTTTGATCAGAACTCTTTTTTTTTTTTTATACTCTGCACCATTGGTTCGTAGATTATTAATATTTATTGTTGACGAATTAACCTCTGGCTCCTGCCCTTTAACTAGCGTGTTATTGCTACCGAACTAGCATACGTAGCTCAACCATCCTCATCTTAATAGATATAGGAAACCACATTTTGGCCACCAATATTCGTAATCTCTATGGATAAGATATAAGATGTCTGTGGGATACTAGTTTAGGATGCCATTGAATATCCTCATCGGGTTTTACTACCTAATTCATTTTTTTTTCGTTTACATAAGTATTTAATAACTTCACCGAGCTAGACGGTATCATCATGCTACAAATAATAAGGGGGAATTATTGATGGTATCATTTTGGAAACCACATTATTGATGCAATAATATTTTACTTAGCCAGAGAAAAGCAAATGGTTTGATGGTTTAAGTCTAGAAATGAAAAAATGCTTCCTTCCAATTGGGAAGTGTTTTAATTTTTTGATCATGCTACAAATAATAAGGGGGAATTATTGATGCGTCGTCCGGACAACAATAATGAGACTTTTGCACACCTTTGTCGACAAATTATTTGTCATTTTCTGTCACGGCATCACGGGTTTGTGAATGTGGTTGTTCCACTATTCTGCAGCTCAACTTGCATAATTTGTATGGAGTAGCATTAATTTTGATTCAGCGACAATTGGAAAAAAAATAGTTTTGGGATAGTCTCAAAAGAAAAAGAAAAAGTTATCGGCCAACTAGAAAGAAAAGGTGCTTTTTACTTGACAGCGTGTCAGACAGAAAAAGTATCGCTTACAGTACGAAGTAATCATCTTTTCAAGAAAAATTGCAAATGTTTTTTGATTGCCTAACTTTTTTCATTCGTTAGCGTTGAGAGCAAATGACAGCTCATTTGAGCTACATACAAATTCAGCTACTCGCGAATAGTTCCGGTCAAAATTCAATTTGAATTTGTTTAATACTAATTTTAATTTAAATTCAAACTGATCAAATCGAGTTCGAATTCAAATTTTGTTAACTCACGAGTTGATTCGATTATATATATAGTGAAATTACATATATCTTATAATATGTTATTATTTGTTCAAAAAATTACTATTTTATTTATTTTTTAAAAATAAAATAATTTTTTTTTAAATTTCGAGTTCGAGCTTGACTTGGCTCGAATTTGAGTTTAAACTTTAAATTGAGAGTTCGTCAAGCTCGAAATCAAGTTTAAATTTGGTACAATTACGTCGAGATTCGATTTAATTAGATCAAAATTTGATTCAATTCAACTCATTTGCAGTCCCAAAACTCGTGTTGTGGAATTTTTCTCTTGAGGCCCTTAAGGTATGTACAATAGTAAGCTAAATGAAGAGATGACCTTTTGCCCTCTCCCCTTCCCAACCCAAAAAAAAAAAAAAAAGAAAAAAACTAATTACATTCATGATATTCATCCAGTGAAAAGAACTTTCATCATAGAATTGACAAAATCAATAAAATGTTTCATTTTCCTAGAACTTTTACAGTTTCTGGAAGCGAACAATAATTGGCTAATTTTGGTTGACTTAAGAGGAAGATATAATCTCTCTAATAATTCTCAGCCAAATATATCCTCGGACTCCAACCTACTTGACAGCTATTCTCTCTTGCTGAATAACTACGTGGAAGAGAAGAATAAAATTCAACTGTAGTTGTGGTGCCTGAGAAAAAGTAGACGCACAAGCAATATACTTTATTCAAGAGAGCCCCTATGGACCAAAAACGAAAATGACAAAAATCAGTAGTAGCCCGTAACTGGAATACCACTATAAGAAAAGATGGAATTAGTGGCACTATACAAGATTTTAGTGGCATTTTGTTAAAAAAAAGGTGTTATAGCTCTACTTGAGAAATGTGTTGGCTTACTGGTACTTTTTCTCACAGTGCCATCAAATATATATTTAGGTCACAATTTAGTTACATTATATTGAAAAATGTCATTGGAACACAAGTTTTACTAGAATTTAAGGAATCAACTTATAAAAACTAAAATGAAATAGAATATAAACAAAAATTATCTTTCTAATGAATAAGATATGGTTCCTTAAATTACTCCATTATTTCGTAAGTATTAAAGGAGGTCTTAATTATTAAAACTCGTTGAAATCTCTCCTTCTTTCAACATTCTTCAAAAACCCTACCATCCCATCCTTTCTTGTGTCAAAGTAAGTTTGTAAAGAATTAATTTCAATTTTCTTATGATCTGGATTTACTCTCGTGATGGATAGTGTTGCGGCCCTTAATTTATAGGATAGAATTTTCTGGGAAGGATAGGAGAGTTGTTTGCCACGCGAAAACATTAGCACAGTTCTCAAGGAGCCTTTAAAAGTTAACCAATGAGGTACAATTCTTTATCCACTTTTCATGTCACTTTTAGCTGGTTTAAAAGATCAGCTGTGGTCAAATTTTCATCTTGAGATGAGAAAAACTCATCTTTAATTAAGAACCTATGCCAAATGTCCATGTTGAGATTACTCTAAGTTGCCCAAGTGGATGGTTTTGCCATTTCTGAAAATAACAAGACTCTATGGTTTCATTTAATTCACTATGCGCATGTATTCTATGTAGTTTTTGACTTGCTCCTTTGCCATGTCCAATTCTAAAGTAAGAGGCAATATGCCTACTTTATTTTTTTTTTAGATACAGGCCACAATGCAACTGAAGGATTAACAAAGGATGACGCCACTGGGAAAAAACTACTTAAAATAACAAAGAGATAAACTTATTTAGTCATTAGCTTGAAAGATTTGTATTTAGACATGGTTCGTTCACCAAAATGTATTAAATTTGTAAGAAATATTGATGTGTTTGTTATTTCATTTCTTACTTTATTTAATAGTCATTTGTGAATTCTTTTTGTTTGTAGCATTTTTGCAATATTATAATTAATTGCATAGATGAACATGATCAATTGGTTTGTTAATATTCAAATTACTTTTTTAATGCGATTAATTTTTTTAGTGGCATTTGAAAGTGTTAGAATAGCTTTATATAGTGGCATTTGAAGTGCGATGGCACGCTTGCAATTGCCATTAAAATTTCATAAAGTGGCATCTTCTCATACCATGTAGTATTATTTTGGAACCAATGGCCCTTTGGATTGTTAGTTAACACTAAAGACACTAAATCTT